TTTTTCTTCATAAACTCACTTGATTTCCCAGAGTTACATTCTTGTATGGGTTGAAGAGTTCGTGGCATCGTTAAATTAAATTTTTCGTCTTTTTTATATAACTGAATAATAATTCACAAACACTTATATTCATAAAATCTATCATGAAGATGTTCAAATTAATCGATGTTCATTTGGATCGATTAGAACAAATTTTCTGTCAGGATCACTTGACTTTTGTCATGATTATCACGAAACGTCACATTTTTCTTAAAGTTTTTGCAATTCTTTTCATTTTATGTAACTCAAATTTAATTTTTCATTAAAAATTTTTAAATTTGCTTAATTATATAAATTTTATAACTATAAATTTCTTAATTCAGTGATTATTTCGGTATAAAAGAATTTTAATTTTAATTATCCATTTCCGTATTATAAACATAAATTATAAATATCGAAAAGTTAAATTGATTTATATCACTGATGCACGTGCATTCTTTATCAGAAATCACGTGTAGACTAGTTTGCAATCCGCAAGTTACGGAAGATCTACCGATCTCCAAGACTGACTTCCAATCTCTGAAATACAAATGGATAACCTTCAGAAAAATGGCGGCACTCATAAACGCTCTGTGATCACGAGTACACATAAACTACAATACTAAGATGATTCGAGTAAACGATCCCAGAACTTAGTTGTGATTTTGAGTAGGAGAAGCGTGTTACATATTTATTTGGTTTCAATACATTTTTTATGACTTCGGAAAAAGAAATATAGATGTGTATGTTGAATGTGAATATAAGTGGTATATAGTATTGTGTGAAATTCATATTTGAATTTTATTTTTTTTGTTTATGATACAATAAGAACAAAAAATCGAAGTGCAAGAGAGAAAGAATGATTATGATACAAGATCAACTTTCGTTTCATTTGAAATTTAAAACTTATTATTCTCACAAAACTTTGTATATTTTATAATTTATTTTTTAATATAAGAAATAAAATATAATTTAAAAATATATTTCTTTTTTCGAATAAAATAAATAATAAAAAATATATAAATAATAATAAATGATAAAAAAATATAAAAATAATAGTTATGTATTCAATGAAAAACAAAAAATTTAATGTACAAAAATTAAAAATCTTTTTATATATAAGATATTCTTTTTTGGTTTTTTTAAAATATACCCAATACATTTTTAATCACAATAATTTTCCGTATAAAATCTTGTACTTTTATTGACAAGTCATAAAATAATATTTAAATAATATTTCTTACATTACTGATCCAGAAGTATAAATACACATTATAAAGCTTATTTTTAATTATTGCAATGAATTTAAAATACATTAATAATAAATGATTTATACAATTAAAATTATTCCATATATATTTCATAATACTTTTACTGTATTTTTTATTCACTAAATGAACATACTTTCATTATGCTTAAGAAATTAATTGTTGTTTAATATTGGATAGAAATAAGAATTATTTGTACATTCAAAACATTGATCATACAAGAAAAAGGGAATAAATGAAATTATATTGTAAACTTAAATATTTACAAAGTTAAATTTTTACATTAAGATCAGTCTTATTTATCCCTGATCTTGTAGTGTTCAATGTTGATTTTTCAATGAAATATATTTTAAAGAAATTAATTGTGATCTTTTCTTAAAATACATCTTGAGAAGGCATTATTTCATCAAATGATCCGATAATATTTCATTGTCACTTTTTTTTAGAACCAAAACCTGAGAAACCCATTATTGCTGCCATTTCATCTGAAGGTCCTCCATTATCTTCATTGACTTCTTCAATTTTTCTTTTCTTATCTTTTCTTTTCTCTTTTCTATATTCTTTAATTTTCTCTTCCTGTAAATAAAAGATACATGTTTAAAAATAATATATTTTTAAAATATATTAATATATTAATATTTATAAAATATATTTGAAAATCTGAAAATAATACAAACCTCTTCTTTTAATTCTTTTACTCTTTGCTCTAAGTCATAATCTTTCTTTTTTTCTTCTAATTTCTTTTTATTCATTGCAAAACGAGCTTTAACCTGTTCTAATGTAGATCTTTCTATTTTCATTGACATACCCAAATTACGTTGATCTGAAAAAATTCATCTATGAAATTAATATTTATTCAAACATACAAAAACATTAATAAAAATAATAAATAATAATTGATTACGTTTGGTGCCATTGATGTGATCTAAGAAATTAATTGAATCCTTGACAACACAATCACAAACATTACAATAATACCTATAAATATAATATTATTATATAAATTATAAATTATATCTATTTTAGTTAATTTTTAGAAAATGATTTAAAATTTTTTACCCTCCAGTTTGTGATGATGGAGTATTTTTATTAATAACAACACTTTTTCCTAATTTAGATTCAAGATCAACTTTGTAATCTCTTTGTTTGAGCAATTCTCTTTTTACCGCTGGTTGTTTTGGAATTCCCAATTCTTCTTCTGCAATTTCATCCTGCAGACGTTGAAGTGCTATTCTTTCATACTCTTCTCTGTTCCATTTGCGTCTATGGTCATCAGGTCGCTAAAAAATAAATAGTATTATACTATTTAAATCAATTTTAACAATTTTTTTTATTTAAATATAATCCAATCTATGTAAATTTATCTTTATATTTTTTGACATATATATTATTTATACTAAAAATTATAATTATGATTTAATTTTTCGATTTTCTAAATTATTCATTTTTTTTTTTATTTTAAATTTAATATTATCATTTTATTTTTATTTTTATCACTTTAATGTATATGTAAAATCAGGTTATAAAATGCGTTAAATATTTTTATCAAAATTACTTGAAATTAAATTATCTTGATAATATATAAAAAATTAATGATTTTTATCACAAAATCTCATATAAATAAAAATTGTAAAAATTCTTACCATAGACATTTTTGAAATTCTTGGAGTCAATCAAATCTATTACGCATAAAAAAATAAACTGTTTCCCCCTCTTCTTTTTACCTTACTTAAGCCATGCTCTTATTTTGGATAGTGGTTGTAATTATCACTTATCATGATCTTAAATATAATTTTATTTTTTCAAAAATTTTTAATTTTCTTCGGAATAAATAAGAAGATTTATAGTTTTTTTTTTTTAATTATACTTAATTTTCTTTTGATAATACAATTATTATATTACATATGAAATTTATAATTTAATAAATTTATATTTATAATCATATATTTTTAAATATTAAAATTTAATATTTTTAAATAATAAAATTTTATAGTTACTTTTGCATAATTTATAAATAAAAAAATATTATATATTTCAATAAAATATTAAGATACATATCAATCGAAAATTTATGTTTAACTTTAAAAATGTATGTAAAATAATTTTTTATATATAATATAAAAATAATAAAGAATGAAAAAAAATAAAATAAAATATTTTCAAAATTAATTTTATTTGCCAAAATACATTTATGTAATACTTTTTGTATATTATTAATATTAGAAATGTATTTATATAGAGTGTCCCAACAATATTGGAATATCCGTAAATTGGAGATTCCTGAAGTAATTTCAAGCAACATTTTCTTTGCAAAAATTTTCATTATGACTTTGTTAATGAGTTATTAGTAAAAAACACTGGCCAATCACGGAGCGTGTAGGTGATCCGCAACAGTAGCATTAGCTGTCAACAAATAAATCTAAACAATATATATCAAAGAAACTGTGTTGAATATATAAATATTTTTTTATCAAAAAAAAGTTATATCGAATTATATCACGAATGAATAAATAAATAAATAAATATAATATATATATATAGAATATACTAAAAAATGGTTGGGATATATATATATTTTTATATATTTTTTAATAATTCAACATTAATGAATAATTTAATAATTAATTAATGTCTGAATTTTCCTTAAATCTCTGTAGAATAGCATGAATATTTATAAAATTTTAATAAAATTAATTATTTTAATAATTATAATTAATAATTATTTTAATAAAATTATTTTTTTATTTATATTATTTCTTTAAAACAAAATTATTTTATAAAATTCAATTAAAATACAATTAAAAATAAATAAATTCCTTGATACCACTTTACATGATAAATATTCAATATAATTTTTTTATATGTCATTATCATCATTTTGTAATAATCATTATTAGATTTTATAAATTTAACACTGGATAAAAACTATAATTTTTTTTTTTACAATAATAATAGAAATTACAATATAATTAAATGTTCAATTAATGAAACTACATATATATATATATTAATTATGTTATATATATGTTAATTATATATATATAATTAAATCTAAATTTAAATACAAAATTTACATTTTTATTATCAAAATTTTTCTTCTAATAAAATTCTGAATAAAAATTAATCATAGAATTTCAAAAAATTAATCAAAAAATTTGAATATATATTATTTTCTGATAAACTATTTTTTAAATAATAAATTATAGTTTTATTCCAATAAATCTAATGGTACATTATCTGGTAATTTAACCCCATATATTGTTCCTATATAAGATGCTATTTTACAACCATATTCTAAACAATGTTTTGGTTTCCAACGAGCTAAAACACCTGCTAGAAAACCAGCAGCCAAAGCATCACCAGTATCTATTGTATCAATAACAGGAACTTTTGGTTTAATTGGGTGTACCTAAATAAGCAAATTTTTATTCAAATTTTTCATTTAAAAAATTGATTTTTTTTTTATTTTTAACATACTTGAGCAAATTGACTTTTTCCCCAAACAGCAATTGTTGGAGCAGATGCACCTTGAGTCATAACAAATACTCCCCCATGACGTAGCCAATCTTTTTTGACTGTATTACAGACATTAATTGTAATTCTTTTTAAACTATTTAATAAAAATGGTATATCTGATACATCATCATATGTAAGATTTAATGATTGAGCCAAAGCTTCCATTTCTCTTGAATTACCAAATACAATATTTGAATGACCTACCATTTCGCAAACTGCTGTACGAAAATCCTATAAGAGATAATATATTGTTAATAACAAATATATATATTTTATATATATATATATGTTATACCACTGAATATAATAATTTTGTTTTTCTCATTAATTATTTAACATTATTAGTCAAATTCTAGAATATTTATTTACATTAAATATATATGTCCCACTTATATTAAAAGCTATGATTATATCTCTTTCTTCTGCTTGTTTAACAAGTTCTTTTATTACAGAAAAACTATGAGATATGAAAAATCCTTCAATATATATTATTTTTATTCTATCAAATGATAAATTGCATGCTTTAAGATCATTTAAAGTATATTTAGCTGCAGCTCCTACATTTGCAACAAAACTACAATATGGTTCACTTATCAATACTATACATTGTCCTGTACTTATATTTGAATGAATTGCATATCTGCAAGAATATATATATTTAAAAATATATATCATAATGAAAATAAAATAAAACAAAGAATTTAAAGCATCTGCAAACCTAGCATCCACACCTGCTGACCGAACTAAACTTTGTAACATTATTCCTTTACAATCATTACCAATAGCTCCAGAAAAAATACAATATTGATTTTGAAAGGTTTCATCATAAAGCCACTGCATAATTCGCATTGTATTTTGTGCTGATCCTCCAGGATACACTACCTGTTTTGATCTATTTCATCATATTATTAATAATCTCTAAATTTTGAATAAGTTTTTTATATAATAACAATAATCTAATATTTTCAATGAATATTAAAAAAAATATTAAAAAATACATTATGTATTTTTTATATAAAATATTTTTTATATAAAATAATAATATATATTTATATTTATCTAAAATAATGAAAAAAATATTTATATAAAATATAAACATGTAACAATTATTAATAAATATACTTATTAACTCTTGCGGTATATCTGCCAATAATTCTTGCATTTTATCTTCAGAAAATTCTGTTTCTCCATCTACATTAAGATTATATTTTTTTAATAAATCATTATCTTTTATTTTTACAAACATATCTAATAAAGGATTGCCAAAAGCAATAATTGCAGGAGCATTAAGATTTTTAATAGATTCTCTTAATGGTTTGTCTTTTTCAACCATTTTTAATAATTTATAAGTTTTTTATATTACATTTATGAATAAAGCTTTTTTTGTATTCAAAGAATGTCTTCAAAAAATTTTAAATTTTACTTGTAACACATCGAATATGATTATTAAATATATAGATTATTGTTTAATTTTTCTTATTTCTTATTTATTTCTAAAAATAGTAATAAAAAAGTAACTATAATATTTATCTTTATTGTTTGAAAATATAAATAAATTTAAAACATTTTTTTCATATTTTTTTCATATTGATGTTTTAATATACTTTTAAAATTATTCATTTTTATTATAATAAGAATAATAAAAAAAATGAATGTATATTTTTGTTTTTAAAACTGGCATAAAGGTTACTTTACAAAGTAGCTTTACAAAAATATAATTGTTGTTCTTTATTAAATATATAATTATAAATTTTTACAATTATTTGCATTCATATTTTATATTTATATTTATATGATTATGATATAAATATGAAATATGATTAGAAATATATACAAATTATTATTATATTATTCTACTTTGATATGAATTATTAATAAATATATTTAATTTTAATATGTATATAACATATTATTATGTTACATTTTATTATATCGAATATATATTTAAGAGTTTTTACGTTACTTATTTTTTTATAACAATTAAAAATTAATAATTATTATATATTAATAATTTATCGTATATATATGTATTAAAGTTACAAAATGGATGCGCACATTTTAATTTGAATAAGTAACATAACCATTGTGCATATGATATCTATATATTTTTAAATAGAAATTAAATAAAAGAAAAAAGTGAATTCTATATTTTAAAGATGGTTCGTAAAAAAATAGATAATCGTATTCGTATTTTAATTGAAAATGGTGTTATTACGGGATATAGAACAATGTTTATTGTTATTGGTGAAAAAGCACGAGATCAGGTTTGATTATAATTTAATTGCAATTTAATAATATTAAACAATATTTATATTTTAATTTTTTATTTAATTTTTATTTTAAAATTTAAAATTTAAATTTAAAATATTACAATTTTTTATTAGGTTGTTTTATTACATCATATGTTATCAAAATCTATTATAAAAGCTAGACCTTCTGTACTTTGGTGTTATAAGAAAGAATTAGGATTTAGTAGTCACAGAAAGAAAAAAATGAAATCCTTACAAAAAAAAGTTAAATCAGGAAAGTTGGATGTTAATGATGATGATCCATTTGAATTATTCGTTGTTTCTACTAATATACGATATTGTTATTATCATGAAACACATAGAATATTAGGAAATACATATGGCATGTGTGTTTTACAAGTAAGATTCTTTATTTGTTTTGATTTAATTAATTCAATTTTATTTTAAATATAATTAACAAAAAATTAATTTTTAGGATTTTGAAGCTCTTACACCAAATTTATTAGCACGTACTATTGAAACTGTTGAAGGAGGAGGACTGATAATATTTTTATTACAATCAGTAAATTCTTTAAAACAATTATACACTATGAATATGGATGTTCATCAAAGATTTCGTACAGAAGCACATCAAGTATATTATTCACTTTTTTTTAATTAATTTAGAGATAGATTTTGTTAATTATAAATTTAATTAATTAATTTATTTAAATTTAAGAAATAATTTTAAGAATTAATTTTCTAATATTTTGAATTTTATTTTAGAATGTTATTGGTCGATTCAATGAAAGATTTTTATTATCTCTTGCTTCATGTAAAAGATGTTTGGTTGTTGATGATCAATTAAATGTATTACCTTTATCATCACATAATTTAAAAATTGAACCTATACAAAAATTATCTTCTTCTGAAACATTATCAGAATTAGATACATTAAAAGAGAATTTAAAAGATACACAACCTATTTCTTCTCTTGTTAATTGCTGCAAAACACTTGATCAGGTTTAATACTAAAAAATATGTTAAATATATTATATATATATATATATATAAAATAAATGAAGATTATTTTATATTGATTTATTTATTAATTAATTAATTGATTTTATATTATGATTTTATGTACATATTAGTTTTTCACATAAATTTTAATATTTTCAGGCAAAAGTACTTCTCAAATTTATTGAATGTATATCAGAAAAAACATTAAGATCTACCGTTTCTTTAACTGCAGCTAGAGGTCGTGGAAAATCTGCAGCATTAGGTTTAGCTGTTGCTGCTGCTATAACATTTGGTTATTCAAATATTTATATTTCAAGTCCAAGTCCAGAAAATTTAAATACATTATTTGAATTTATTTTTAAAGGTAAACATCAACAATAAATATTATTTTTTAATAGAATAAATTTTATATTATTTTATATTATAGGATTTGATGCATTAGGATATCAAGAACATCTTGATTATGGACTTGTACAATCTACAAATCCTGAATTTAATAAAGCCATTATACGTGTAAATGTTTTTCGAGATCATAGACAAACAGTTCAGGTGTAATATTATTAATTTTTATCTTAAAATTTTTTAAGATAATTTTAAAGTTATTTGTTAAAATAATATAATATAAATACATTGATAAAGAAATCAATTTTTTTTAGTACATTCATCCAACTGATGCACATAAATTAAATCAAGTTGAATTACTTGTAATAGATGAAGCTGCAGCAATACCTCTTCCTTATGTGAAAACTATGCTTGGTCCTTATTTAATATTTCTTGCATCGACTATTAATGGGTAATTATATCTTGTATTTTAATTTTTGATCATTGTTAATCATTTTATTTAATTATAATTTATACGTGTTTAATACATAATTTATTTTAATATAATATTATATAATACATAACTTATATATGTTTTAATAGATATGAAGGAACAGGTAGATCTCTATCATTAAAACTATTACAACAATTAAGAAATCAAACCATTAGTTCAAATAGTCATGAGAAACAAAAAAATGAAAAGATTATTATTGGAAGACAATTACATGAATTGACTTTAGAAGAATCTATTCGTTATAAACCAGGAGATTCTATCGAACAATGGCTTTGTGATTTATTATGTTTAAATGCTACAATAAATACACCTATATTATCTGGATGTCCATCACCTGATATATGTGAATTATATTACATAAATAGGTAACGTACATTATATAAATTTACATTATATATTATGTATACATTATATATATTCTTTTTAGAGATACTTTATTTTCTTATCATAAAGCATCTGAATTATTCTTGCAAAGATTGGTAGCTCTTTATGTGGCTTCACATTACAAGGTAAATCTCTCTCTCTCTCTCTCTCTTTCTTTAAAAATAAAGGTACTAATTTTTTTAATAATGTTTCCAGAACAGTCCAAATGATTTACAAATGATGTCTGATGCACCAGCACATCATTTATTTTGCCTTTTAGGTCCAATAAATTCAAACAAAAAAATATTACCCGAGATATTAGTAGTTATTCAAGTAAATATACATGATATGTAACCATATTATAAATGTATATGAATTTAAATATCTTTGATATTTTTTGTAATACTAAATTTTTATTATGCATAGATTTGTTTGGAAGGCGAAATAAATAAAAATACTATAAATGATGGACTAGTTCGAGGACGTCGAGCAGCTGGTGATCTTATACCATGGACTATTGCACAACAATACCAAGACCAAGATTTTCCAGCATTAGCTGGAGCACGTATTGTCCGCATTGCAACACATCCTGAATATCAAAATGTAAATTTAAATGTTATTATAAGAATTAATAAAGATAATTTTTATTTAATTAAATATTTATATTATAGATGGGATATGGTAGTCGAGCATTGGAATTATTGAAAAAATATTATGAAATGAAAATAATTAATATTAATGAAACATCATTACAAACATGTATGACAGAAATATCAAAAGTTAAAAATGAAGAAGTAAATTTGTTAGAAGAAAAAATTGGTAATTAAATTTATTATATTAAACACTTATATCAGATATCTTAATTTTAATTTATTAATTATTAATTTCAAATTAATTATTTTTTAGAACCTCGAGTTTCGTTACCGCCGCTTCTTTTAAAACTTAGCGAAAGACGTCCAGAAAATTTAGATTATATTGGTGTATCTTTTGGTGTTACTGAACCACTTTTAAAATTTTATAAACGAGCTAATTTTATACCAGTATATTTAAGGTTAAAATAATTATTTATTATTATTATTATTGTCATACATTAAAAGTTTATTAATAAAATAAATATTTACTTTTCCAGACAAACAACAAATGATATTACAGGTGAAAATTCATGCATCATGTTGTATAAGATCAATTCTGATCAAGATGTTAAATGGTTACAAGCATATTGGAATGATTTTCGTAAACGATTTATAAGTTTATTATCTTTTTCATTTAACACATATTCACCTTCATTAGCTTTAAGTATATTATTTAATAAATCGATTACATTAGAAACTACAAGTTAGTATATTTTCAATAATATATGAATATATAGTTTAATGTTCATATTTTTACGTTTATTATGCAATCATTCTTTTTTTAGCATTGACGAAAAATATATTGGATATCTATTTTACATCATATGATTTAAAACGTTTATCTATGTATAGTAATAATATGGCAGATTATCATTTAATAATGGATTTATTGCCATCATTAGCGCGTTTATATTTTTTAAATATGATAGATGATATTCATTTATCAGCAGTACAATCGGTAATTTTTATATTTATTCTAATTTAAAAATCTAAATATATTTTGTATTTATACAAATGTTTTGATTTTTATTTTAGGCAATTTTATTGGGATTAGGTTTACAACACAAAACTGTTGATACATTAGCAAAAGAATTAGATTTACCAACAACACAATTACTTGGTTTATTTAATCGTATTATACGCAAATTTATACAGTATTTTAATAAAATAACAGAGAATTTTATTGAAACTACTATAATGAAAATAGAAGGTAATAATGAAACAGTACAACTTAATCCCATCAATGGAGAAA